TACTACTACTACTACTACTACTACTACTACTACTACTACTACTACTACTACTACTACTATTTCTTCTTTCTTATACTAACCCCGAAATTTGCCCTCCTTCCTTTTCTCCTGGTTCCTTCCCACTCCCTCCTCTCTCCCCCAGTTCACTTCTCCATTTCACTTCAAAAAAGGGCAGGCCTACCAAGGATATCAATCAAACATGACATATCAGGTTGCAGTAAGAGTAGGCCCTTCCCCCACATATTTAGTCTGGGTGGGTCAACCCAGTAGGAGGAAAAGAGTTCCAAAAACAGGCGAAAGAGTCAGGGATAGCTCCTGCTCCCACCGTTGGGAGTTCTACAGGAAGGCCAAACTACACAACCATAACATAAATGCAGGGAACTAGGCAGACCCATACAGGCTCCTGGTTGTTGGTTCAGTCTCTGTGGGCCCCTATGAGCCCTGTTTGGTTGATTCTGTGGTCTGTGTTCTTGTGGTATCCTTGATCCCTCTGGCTCCTCCCCTTTTGCCACGGGATCCCCTGAGCTCCACCTAATGTTTGGCTGTGGGTCTCTGCGTCTGTTTCCATCAATTGCTGGATGAAGCCTCTCTGATGACAATTGGGCTCAGCATCAATCTATTAAAGAATCATTTCATTGTTGTTGGTCATAGTGTTTTTGTTTTTGTTTTTGTTTTTTTTTTCCAGTCAAGTTTGGTTCTATACTAGGTCTCTGGGTCATCCAGCCTCTGAGTCCTGGCCCTCCAGACAGTGTCAGGTGTGGGCTTCCTCCTATGGCATGGGTCCAGCTGGACCAGTCATTGGTTAATCACTCCCACAATTTCTGCACCACCCAGTATATCTTGTAGGCAGGACAAATTTGTAGGTCAAAGATTTTGTGGCTGGGTTGGTGTTCCATTCCCTCCACTGGAAGTCTTTCCTGGTTTTAGGAGATGGGCATATCCATATTCAGACACCATATCCGCCATTACTAGGAGTCTTAGCTAGGGTCACACTTACAGATTCCAGGGAGTTTCCACTGCACTAGGTGTCTACCTTGTCTGCAAAATTCCCAATTCCAGTTGTCTCTCCTAGAACTCTCTCACTCCATCCTCGCATAACTGATCCCTTCTGTTCTTGTCCCTACCTGCCCCCAGACCACCTGAGATAGTTCTTCTATTTCTCCTCTGGGAGATCTATGCATCCCTCCCTTGAGCCTTCCTTGTTCCTGTGACACTGCATTCAAGGTTGTTCCCCATTTTCTCTTCTGTCAGGTTCAGTGTATCTGGTTTTATGTTGGGGTCTGTGATCCACTTGGACTCGAGTTTTATACAGAGTGATAAAATAAATCTATTTGCATTCTTCTACAGCCATACCACCCTGAATCCACCCAGTCTCACCAGATTATGGGTTTTGATGAGGTATCCAGCCATGGGTGGTGGACAAATTGGCCACAGCAAAGCTGTTTTAGTTTCTCTTTTCATCCTTGAAGAACTGGCATGGCTTTTTGAGGTTCCATGCACAAAAAGTTTGAGAAGGATGCAGCCCAATCCTCCAGCTACATTTGCAATGTTGTTATGTGGTCCGTAGTGTATTCTCTCCCAGAGCACTCTGTCAGGGGAACGGGGCTCAGAGAGTGCCTCCCATCCATGCCCTTGACCCTCTGCTCACAACTGTCCTGGGAGAGTAGCAGGCCTTGACATCACCCTTCTCTCCTATCAACTCCTCTCAGGAGAAGAGTTGGCCATGTTGGAGGACATGAGCCTTGGAATCATGGACTTGAGGAACGTGACCTTTAAAGTCACCCAGGCCACTTCGAATACATCAACTGACATGTTGCCAGTCATCACAGGAAACCGGTAAATAATCATGTTTTAAATACTCCAGTCAACAGCAGTGTTGTTAATTTGTGTTTGTCTCAGGATACAGGACACAGTCTGCCTTGTGCTTTGCCTTGCTTTTATTTCATTTTATTTTATTCTATTTTACTCTTTTAAAACATGGCATATAGCCTTCCCCCTACCCATGTCAATTTCATAATTTCTCCTTAAAGGTGTGAGTGTGCACTTAAGTCACACTGGCCAGAGTGTCACCCAAGGCTCTGGAGTATGCTTTGGGTCTGTCCCCTACTCTCAGTGTCCTGACCTCATCCCTACTTTTCCTCTCTTCTCTAGTGATGGCTTTAATGTGCGAATCCCTCTGCCAGGACCACTGTTTGACTCCCTGCCCCGAGAGATCCAGAGTGGTATGCTGCTGCGGGTGCAGCCAGTCCTCTTCAACGTGGGCATCAATGAGCAACAGACACTGGCTGAGAGGTGTGTGCCATTCTCCTGGTGCCTGTACAGCTGGGTGTTTAGTGTCCATGGAATTGTGGGTGTGGGCTCACCTCAACTTGGGAAATACACAGTGGTTGCTGGAAGATGTTGTATAACTTTTAGTAGAATAGGGCATGATCAGATGTACATGCTAAGTAGGTCGTATTGCTGTCCGTGAGTAGAAAGGAGTCAAGGGAAATGTGAAATCGTTGCTGAAGAGACTGGAGCACAGGGCAGTGCCATGGATCTGAATAGGTAGAGCATGGTGTGGTGTTCTGAGAAGGGACCAGCTGGAAAATGATGTAAGAAGCATGGGGAATCAGTAGACTGAGGCCCGAGACTTCTAGATTAGACAAATGGGTTGGTGCCTTCTCTGAGCAGGAGAATGGGAAAGGCTGTGTTTTGAGCAGATGGTGCCTGGGCCCAGGGTGAGGCACAAGCATAGAAAACAGAGCTCTCCCGAGGCAAGAGCTAGAAGAATCTAGTTTGAGGAGAGTGGGCCTTTCATGGGAGCTACAGCTGAAGATGTCCCAGGAGAGAGAGTGACGTTCCCTGTATCTAGCTGCTGTTAGGCAGTTTCTGGAAAGGACTGAGACAAGTCCAGGTGCAGTGAGCAGACGGGGTAGAAGAAGGGGAATGTGCATGTTGGATAGAGTAGAAGCGGGGGCAACTTTGGCTTGGTTTGCTTGCTTGCTCCAGCAGCACACTTGTAAGTTTGTTTTGCTTCTGAGATGAAGGGAGACTGCACAGAATGGAAGGATGTCTCCTTCCCCAAGGGATGGCTGCCAGATGCCTGCTAGACACAAAGCTGAGTGGGTACCAGGGTGAACTGTCTGAGGCTAATGCTGGTATGTCATATAGAGCAGGGGGGTGGTGGACTGCCCTCAGGGCTCAGGGCTCAGATTGCACAACTGTAGGGCTCTTTTCCCTCCCCTCTCCCTTTCTTTTAACTCTTCACCATCTTCCTTGCAGGTAGCATCTATTGCTTACCTCATGTATTTGGTATAGTCATTCTTGCAACATGTAGTGGGTGTAGGTCAAACCTACTTGATGAGGAAAGAGCAAAGGCCCCAGCCCAGCTCAGAGGGACAGTTAGCATTCACACAGCAGAGGATGACTTCAGATCCCAGCATAATCTCCTTATTCCTGGCTCTCCCATTGCTATACCCTTTCCTGGGTGCCTTTGAGGCAGGAAGACATGAGGACTGTAAGCTGAGAGCCTGTGACACTCAATGGACCTTCCAGTCTCTGAGCCTCATGCTTTTGGCCACTTTTTGTTGCTGTGACAAAATACCTATAAAAAGATTTAAAACTTAAGAAGTAAAGGTTTATTTTGGCTTATTTCATTAGTTTCAGGCCGTGGTTGCTGGCTCCATTGCTTCTCAGCCTGTGCATGGCAAGGCTGGAAGTCATGGTGTAGAGCTCATATGGTGGGCAGAGTAGCTCAGCCTATGTGCCTGAGACAGGAAGGGTCAGAAGACAAGTGAGTCATCGGGATTCAGTCACTCTCCCTGGTGCCCAGAGCCCAAGCCTTCCACATGCGAACTTGCATGGGGAGACTTCTTACCAAACTATAGCACGCGCGGACACTGCACCAGTGTCCTCTTAGGCACATCGCTCTTAGGCATTCCTGTAGTGAGTTACAGTAGCTTCTGCTTGTGAAATCTGTCCCCAGTGCTGTAGGGATGGCTTCATCCTCAGGAAGGAGAAAGAGACTTGGGGTTTGGACTTGCAGGTTTTCTGCTTGGGAGAATCAATCCTCATAGATTTCTTGCAGCTTTCAATTTGTTAGAGGAAGATGGTATGGCCCTTCTGCTGATGTCCTGATTCTCTCCAAGGTTTGGAGACACATCCTTACAAGAAGTCATCAACGTAGAGAGTTTGGTGCGGTTAAATTCCTACTTTGAGCAGTTCAAGGAGGTTTTGCCGGAGGACTGTGAGTATTCCTTTACCCATAACATGTTCTACACTGCTTGTGCAGTCTTCATTTTGAATGTTGAGCTCCAGTCCCCTGCTCTCTGATCTGGATGCTGCCTAGTGCATTCTACTGCAGCAGTGTGACATCCATGTGTGTGCACAGATCCTACATGGGTAGATTTGAGCTGTTCTTTCTCCACCCTCACATAGGTACATGGCATCCCATTCATCTGGCTTGAGTCCCAACAGGAAAGCTTCCCCAGGGCTGCAGCCCCTGCTTTCCCCTTCTGCAGTTGATGCTCTTCTGCTGTATATGGCGTAGCATTTTCTGCCAACATGTTCTGCTTCTCACTGGTACTTGCTGTGGAAGACTGTGTGCATCTGCTGGGAGCACCACGGGTTCTTGGAGGCAGTCCAGGGGTTCTGCATGAGTTGTCCATGAGTTTCTGTCCCTGGCATGTAAAGTAAGATGCAGAAAAGACACTTCATATGAGTGTTTATGGGCAGGATGACCCAGCCATAGTCCCCCAGAGGCAGTGGAATTCCATGATGTACTCATGTATGGTTCTCTATTCTCCATGTGAGGACACATCAGAGAGGGTTCAGGCAGCCACAGAACTCAGGAAGAAGCCCAGTACTGCTCAGAAGAACTTGTAGCTGTGCAAGTCTTCTGACATCATCCCAGTAAACTCACTGAGCCTTTGCCACGTTTATCCCCAGTAAGACAGCCCCTGCCTCTTTGGGTACTGCACAGAGCATACAGACACCGTCCTTGACTGGAGATCAGTTTGGTTTCTCTTGTGTGTGGGATGGGTCTGAAAAGGAGCAGTGTATTGACTGGGGATATAAGCAGGCTTCCCTTGCATTCTGTTAGAAGGTGAGAGGGACCTTAGACTTGAGAAGCAATGATGAGACCACAGTGCGAGAGCATTGCAGGTTCCAATGAGCCAGGCACCAGGCTAGTGCCCTGCATGCTGTCCCAAGTGCACTGTTGTGAGCCTTAAGAAGTCAACGTTAGTCTGTGTGTTCAGGGAAAGGAAAGCTTGCCTGAAACCTGTATTCGTAGTCAGTTAAGAAGGACCCAGGAGAAGATAGGGGCATTCATTTGGTGGTGCTCATTTGGGAAACAGGAAAAAGCTGCCTCTGCCGGTGCTCCCTAGTGTGCTGGTTAGACTGGAGGAGGGGACACAGGCTACAGGCAGCCCCAGGAAGGCAAGGGTGTCCCCTGAAACATTGTTTACTCTGTGACCATCACCTGCTGCTGATATGGCATGGTCAGGGGAGGAGGCACACTGCAAGGTTCTGACTGAAGCCCTGAAGCCGACAGTTTGAGAACTTTAAGCATTTTGGCCTTAGCATATGGATCCTTTCATAGTGTCTGAGTCAGGGGTTCTGTTGCTGTGATAAAACACCATGACCAAAAACAGCTTGGGGAAAAAGGGATTGTTTCAGCTTACACTTCCACATCATAGTCCACCATCAAAGGAAGTTAGGATAGGCTCTCAAGGCAGGAACCTGGAGACAGGAAGTGACACAGAGGTCATGGAGAAGGAGCCTACTGTTCCCCATGACTTGCTCACCCTGCTTTCTTATAGAATTCAGGACCACTAGCCGGGGTGAAATCACCCACAGTGAGGTGGGCCTCCCACATCAACATCAATAATCAGTAAGACAGTGTGCCACAGACTTGCCACAGGCCCGTCTGGCGGAGACATTTTCTCAACTGCAGGTCTCTCCTCCAAAACAACTGTAGCCAGTGTCATGTGACATAAAATTCTCCAGTACCCCTCATAATACCTTCAGAAATGGTTCCCTTGTCTTTGATTTTTTTTTTTTTGCCCCAGGTTTCTTGGGTGAAGCAATATGACATGGGGGCTCAAGAGGTCCTGCAAAGGCCTGGAAACTTCCATAGTGGAGGAGGGTTGCTGTTAGAATTAGTGGGGTTAGGGATCCCTGGGCCATTCATAAATTCTTCCTTCAAGTGTGAGTTGTGGTTCCTTATAGGAGGCTGCACTTGACTCTCCCAAGGTTTCTGTCCACTCCCTAGTCAAGACCCATTGCTCCGAGCACTCTGCATTCCTGAAGTGGGTTTGGAAACCAGGCAGCTCACCCTCACTTCTGCTCACTCTGCCCCTTAGAGGGGAAGAGGCTTGGATGATTATAGTTTCTTTGGCATCCCCTTCTCCTGCCTCTTGAGAAAACCAACAAAAGATAAAAGTCACTGCCCTTTGATGGTGGCCATAATAGCCGTGGAGGAAATTCAAGAATCAGCATCCTGGTAGCCATTTCAAATCTGCAGTCACCTTCCTCCCATACCTGCTGTGAAGCAGGAAAATACTTCCTCAGCAGAAGTATCTTTGAGTGGATCCCCTCTGCCATGGACTCCTCTTCTCTTCCAGGTCTACCTCGATCTCGGAGTCAGACCTGCCTGCCAGAGCTGCTGCGGTTTCTAGGACAGAACGTCCATGCACGCAAGAATAAGAATGTGGACATCCTCTGGCAAGCTGCTGAGGTACTTGTCATGGTGCAGAAGAGTTATGGTGCCCTTCCAACGGCCACCTTAGCAAAGACAGGCAGGTCAAAACCCCAGCCAGGGAGGAGAGCACAGATCGCTCCAACCACAGGACCCAGGGAACAGTCGCTGCTTAGATTCAGGGATTCTGGAAGACACTGAGCATCATTGCCCAGGAGTTGGTTCCGATTGGTTGCCTGCATTTCCACAACAGACATGGGGTCTGATGTGTCATCCTCTTAAGAAGCCTGAACACTGGGTCTGATGTGTCATCCTCTTAAGAAGCCTGAACACTTTGTGAGGTTCATAGGGAGTCTGTGGATACCTCTCACAGCTCCTTATATAGCATGCTTTTTTTTTCCTTCCTTTTTTTGGTTTTGGTTTTGGTTTTGGTTTTTCGGGACAGGGTTTCTCTGTGTAACTGCCCTGGCTGTCCTGGAACTTACTTTATAGACCAGACTGGCCCCAACTCACAAAGATCCACCTGCCTCTGCCTCCCAAGTGCTAGGATTAAAGGCGTGCGCCACCACCTGGCCCTTATAGAATTCTTACTCTGCACTGCCGCTCAGACTGCCTCACTGCCCCAGGCACCTGCGCAGCTGGTATTTCCTCAGCACTTCAGTCACAGAACTCCAGGTCTCCACTAAAATCTGGGGTCTCTGAACCGTTTCCTACTCACCTGACACTCATGCCATGGCAGCAGGTCCTGACCAGTCCCCAGATCCGGGGCTAATGCCATACCCATGACATTCTCCCTCACTGCCTGGCCCGAGGAGGACCTGTGAGTGGCATGTGTCCCCTGGCTGGGTTATGCTGGGTCCTCATTCCTTGGGCCGGATGTGCCAAGAAGGCCCAGGCATGACTTAGAAGGGATAGCTGGTAAGGGTTAGTGCAAAACAGTGATGCCCAGAAGTCTCTAGAAGGGATGTGCCTTGAGAGAATATACAAGGGACAGTTCCCCTGAGGGTGGGGGTGCAAGATGGGCAGAGATGAGTCAGGCTCCTCAGGTGGCAGGGCCCTCCAAGAACTAACTTAGGTTCTGATACCAACTCAGCAGGACACAGAGTTGGGGAGCCAGGCAGTCAGGCTAGGACGAGGCCTGAAGTTACTGCTAGTGCTCCTGCCAGACCTGTGGGGTGCTGCCTCCCCTTGAGGGTGTTGCCTTTCTGCTGGCTTTTCCCTCCTTAGAAGAATCTATTTCCTGTTGGCAGGTCTGTCGCCGTCTTAATGGGGTCCGATTCACCAGCTGCAAGAGTGCCAAGGACCGCACAGCCATGTCAGTGACGCTGGAGCAGTGCCTGATCCTGCAGCATGAGCACGGCATGGCCCCGCAGGTCTTCACACAGGCCCTGGAGTGCATGCGCAGGTGAGTGAGGGCTCTCGTCAGGCCGCACGCGCCCAGCCACCTGCGCTCCCTTTGCTGTGTAAACTGCAGATGAGCCCGTAACCCTGAGTTTGACCACTGCTCAAACTACTGACCCTGTCAAACTCAGGTGGTATTCTCTTAGAAGGCCAGGAGGACAGCCAGCACTCTGAACAGAACTGCACTGACCCCAGAGAGTGGTGGGCAGGCTGGGGATCAGACAGTTCAATAAGGACGGGGAGCCATGTTTTCTCAGCAGGCAGCTGCTTTTATATAGTATATGTGTGTGTTGTATATTCCCCAACGCCAGTGAAGGAACCGTGTCTGCAGGTTGCACTGGTTTGCTCTGCTACCTGTCTCGTAGTGGACGAGTTTGCTCTCTTGAGCCGAATGTCCAGTGAATGTTTCATGGCGACAGCTGTCTGTGTTCCCTGGCCACCTCCCCCTAATGATGTCCTGATTCTGAGATGGCAGATGTGTTAGCAGAATGAAACCCAGAGTTCAGATTGTCCTCTGTTGATGGATGCCTTGTTTCAAGCACTGCTGGGAAGCTCCCTACCTCGCATACCAAAAGAAAGGATAAGAAACCTGGTTTTCCTGTCTCCTTTGATGTAGTCACCAATGCTGTTAAAGTCTCGTTTCCAACAGTCACTTCTACTGAATGTTCTGTATCATTTGTCCTCTCACCAAATTCTTTAAAGTGTTCAATTCTCTTATCCTTTCTATATGTTTCTGCTATTTGACCTTCTCACAATGCACAGAGTGATGCCCGAGCTCATGCCTCTTGGTAGCAGCACAAATGGCATCATTCCGTTCCTGTTTTGTCTCCAGGTTCATTTAAAACCCTCTGTAAATGTTCCTAGCACTCCATGCCTCTGTCTTCGGTAATGGAAAAGCAATGGAGTCTTGGAGTCACGATGGGTCTGTATCCAGAATCTCCATACCCTTTTAGTGTCTATACCTAATGTGATCCTGATTCTGAGGGGAACAGCTATTCTGTGCCCCATTGTTCAGTAGGGGGAAAGGCTGATCTAGAGAACCACAGATGTGTACCACTGAGGAAGTGAGGACGACCCAGACAGCAGAGGCTGGCACCAGTGTCCTAGGGGCTACCTCCAATTGTGCCCCCCCCCACTATATCCCAATAATAATGCAATAAACTATGTCCCTATCGATAGATTAATCTATTGGTAAAAGCAGAGTCCTCCGGTCCCAATTACCTCTCAGTGGGGCCCACTAACTGGGACCCATATCTTCAGCAGGTGAGTTCTAATCTGTTTAGCAGTCACAGGTTCTTTAGCTTTACCTGTGTCTCATTCTGGGAAAATCTCAAAGTTTTCAAACCTTTTAGCTCTGCTTTTTGTTCCCAGTTCTTACTATTAATCTGGTCAGTAACACCCACGCATCAGCTTGAATAATGGGCTGCTGTGACTCCTTCTGACAGATTATTTATACTATCCACAGGACAAGGACAAAATATAGAGAAATTCTTTGCCAGAATGTAATGTGGGTGGCCTCTGGTCTGGCTTCCAGTTGAGTCTGTTCCCATCTAAAAGAAACCTTGTGAACAAAGTCTTTACTGTCCCCATTTTGTTTGACATACTGGACATTTGAACCTCTGATTTACTCATTGAACTCTGCTTACAGCATCCTAAGGGTTTATGGGCTGTTTCTCCAGACACTTCTGAGTTCCTTCTGCAAGCTAGTTCCAAAGGCTTCTGAGTCTGATGATCTAGTATAGTCACAGTACCCCACTTCTTCAGTAACAAACGTGTATTGGCCAGTGTCCCGTTGCAGTGACGGCACACCTGAGAAAGGAGCAGAAGGTAGGAGGATTTGGCTCATAGTTGGAGAGGTTTGGCAAGTTTTTTTCTTGACTGTGGTAAGGCAGAGTGTCCTAGCAGAAGGTCATGGTAGCGCACGGTTGCTCACTTCACAGTAAGCAGAACCTAGAGTGACAGAGACTGGGACAAGATGCACCTTTTAAAGACACATACCTTTGCCCTTGCTCCAGTAAACGAGCTCCCATCCATGTTCTGGTCAGAAACTCTAACTAAACTCAGTGAGCCATACACAAAGGAGGCATGGAAGGAAGGGTGAGACTTGTTGAAAAGGGTTCCTACAGGAAGAGGGAGGGGGTTGGGTGAAAATGACTAAATTCATTATATAAATGTATGAAACTATCTCAACAAATGTAAGGGCTGTTGAGATGGCTCAGTGGGTAAAGGACCTGAGTAGATCACTGGGACCCACATGGTGAGAACCAACTCCTGCCAGTCATATGTGCCCCCCACCTCATGCGCCTGGCACGTGCACAATGAATGTAATTTAAAAGATTTTAAAGACACATACTCTACTGTCCTACACCCTCCAACCAGGCCCCGTCTTCCAGTTACCGCCTCCTGATCTATTAGTTTACTGATGAAGGCAGAGCCCTTGCCGGCCACTTCACAGATTCCCATCTTTTGAACACTACTTGTACTGGGACCCAAGCCTCCTTTAACACATTTCCCTTTGGTGGAGGAACACGCCATAGCTAGACTGTAGCATCACATTTGACATGTCATTCCTTAGGTTAATAGTCCAAGTCTTTGTAGATCTCTAGCAGTTTGAATACAGGTTAGTAGGTTGCACTTGCTCAGTGTCCTGGAGTGTCATTCCTGTCACCGTTGTCTGCTCAGAGGCCTTTAGGGTTGTTTTGCTGTACTGTTCATGGACCCCAAGACCGTGAGCAAGAAATGACCTTTTTCCTAGGGAATGAGCATATTTCCTGCTCTTTCTCTGCCTCATTTAACCCACTTCCTCTCTGTAACCACAGCATTTCCTAGAATCTAAAATCTCTACAGCGGGCATACTTTAGTTGAACGATTGTTTTCTACAGCCTTTAATACAAAACAAAGCCTCTGCCTGTCCCACTAGCCTCAGCACAGCGCTGGTGCTCGCCACTTGCTCGTCACTGCCCCCTGCTGACCCTGAATGCCTTGGGCCCTTGCCGCAGGCCTTTGTTTTTAGGCGACACAATTGCACCCAACTTGTTTTCTGGATTCGCCCATGTAGTAAAGACATATTCTGTTAGTTATCTGCAAGCCTTGTGGCTACAGTGGCAACCAGCACGACAGCACACCGAGAGCCCTAACGAAGGCAGCGGTGGACCCCAGCAGTATCATTGAGTAGATGGTGCAATTGGCTCTCTTGCTTTTTCACTATGTCTTGTCAGATGAGAGAGTAGAATGTACAGGTGGGAACAGAGCTGATCTTCTGACTCTTGGAGGTGTGTGCACACACGCATACACACACACAGGCACATAACGCACATGGAAATAATAACAATAATAATTGATCTGTAGTGATGCAAGATGAATTCTTGTACCAGGACCCATTTCAAGTCCCCAGTGTATAGGAACGTGAGGTTGGGTCTAGATTCACATACTTAATTCCTGTAAGCCATGTGGGCTGAACCTAGCACCCCTCTGGCTGGGGCTGAGGATAATGGCACAGGTAGAGGTGACCTTCCACATTAGGAACTGAAGTCCTCCTGGACAGCCACAGTGACCCACCAGGCAACCCTGGCAGACATTGTAATCATCCGTCAGTGCTTGTCAGTTTGCACAGTGTCCCTGTCAGAAAAGCCTGTTCCAGCAGGGCCAATCCTGAGCTTAGGGCTTCCAGAAAGCCAGGCAGAACACAGCTGCAGGAGGCGTCTTGAGCCCCTGCCTACCCATCTGCAAGCTGTTCTTTCAGAGTGCCTGCCGTGCCCTGAGACCAGAGTCCAGGTTAGTGCTGCTGTTTGCTAGCTAGGAAGGATGTTGGTCCGCAGTCATGTGGTTCTGGATACCATCCCACCTCAGTGTCCTTCAGGTTTTTGGTACTGGGTCTTGAGCCCAAGACCTAGTGTCATCTAGCATAGTTATCACTCAGCTGCACCCAGCCCCCAGAATACTTTTCCTTTAGGATTAAAATAGGAAAAAAATTCCCAAATTTCCCATGTGAATTTGGTTGACTCCGTTTTGAGGGATCATCTAGAACAGTGTCTTACAGAGTTGGAGACAAGATCGGTACACCCCTCCACCACTCAAACTGAGACTTGAGGCAGGTTGGGGAGACACCCAGGTAAATGAATTTTGTCTGTGTGGTTGATCAAGTATCAGCTTCGCACCCACCGCTGTACTCCCCGTCACCCAGGCATCTGTGAGAAGGTCAAACCCCCATGGTTCTTCATGTTCAGCTTGCTTCTCAGAAATGCCCATCGCAGCATGTGGGGCGTGACGGGCGGCATGGAGCTGTGCGTGGCCAGTTGAGAGAGGGTGAACATGAAAGCCATCCTTTCAGCTACATGTGTTAATTTTGGTAGACTACAGTATTTCTTTCTTATTTTTCACTTCTCTTTCTCTCTTTTTTTTCCTGTAACTGTGCTGGTTTTATTTTGGTCTTTTGTTCACACCCTTCTCTGCATTTTATTTTTCTTTCTGTTGTGGTTCATTCCATTTTTTTTTTCAATCTTACCTTTTGGTTCTCCTTTCTCCTCATACTTCTGGGTAAAACCCATCGCATGTGTCTGTCTTTTTGTTTTGTTTTGTTTATTTCTTTCCTTTTCCCTTTTCTTTTCCTTTCTCCCAACTTTTTCCTTTTCACAGCATTGGAACACGGGAGGTAGTCACCCAGAAGAACTTGAGCGGCCTGGTGCCCATCCGAGACTTAAGGCTAGACCCCAGCCTCCTTTGTTCTATTCCTTTATTAGCTCTGAGCCCCAATTTACTGATTGTGTGGCTCTTTCTGAGCATAGCATACCTGGTGACCAAATTACGCTGCAAATAAATATTATTATGAAAATTAATTAGTCACAAGACAGACAAAAGTGCCCGAATATGTCCAGCCACCGTGTACCAAACTGGACAGAAGGAAGGTGTCAAAGCGAGGTCTGCCAAGAAATATCTCATGCCTTACAGTTTGATGTTCTGTTCTTCTGAACTGTAAATACCTGCCAAATTCTTTCATCGAGAGGACTTGTTCATTTTGATTGTGCAGTGTCTTCAGTGCTTGTAACATGTTCTTCTGGTGCCTGTGACTGCATTATTTAGCTGGCCTGGAATTACTTGTACCAAATATCTGACCTTCTGATGTATAACTATTTATTACCTGTACATCTTGTGTGCCCTGCTCCAAGAGAAAGGGATGCTGTCTGAAAAGAGTTTGTATATTTGATACTATTCCTCAAGTTTATTGCTAACCTTCCTTGCCTTTTGAAGAAATCAACAAGAAAAAGACGCTTTATTGGTTTATCTAGATACCCCTGTTTAGTAGGACTGGACTTCCCACTTTCCTTTCAAAGCGTAGTCCTGGGATTGCAATAGCAAACAGTTGTAGAGTCATACTTCCTCGCTCCCAGTTATTTCCCTTGGTGACGACACAGCTGTGGATACAGGAGCACATGCCACCAAGTCCAGCTCACAAACTTTACATCTTGCATGTGACTTCAGGGTTGCTCTTAATATACGCAGTAGCAAGAGTTATATACTTTTTCTTGAAATATTTTTTTTAATTTAAAAACTGTATATTTTATTCCAGATGAAGTCTAGATATCTTTTTTCTTTTACTAATACAATAAGGTTAATAATGAACAAAAAAATCAAAGAAAATGTTTTTTTAAAAATGAAGCTTAAGTTGTGAGAGAGCTGTGAAAATGGGAGATAACTGTGGGTTTGCGTGTGTCACTCCTAATTTTAACATTGGCACTGCCCGTCAAATAGGATGACTAGTCGCCCTGACACTCCTACGTGGCAGAGAGTAATTGTCCTTCATAAAAATAACCAAGTAACCTAGGGAAGGTTCCACTCACCTTGTGTAAGAAACAGAGAATGTCTTCTTCATCTTCCGGTTCCTGTTAGGGTGTATTTCTGCTTTTGACTGCCAGTTCGATGAAGGGGATTGCTTTTCACGAGTGTGGTGAAAAACCCGGAGTGACTTAGAGAAGCTCGAGTGTCTAGTATCTTCACACCCACAAACCCACCCACCATAGTCCTAGCCTCTCTGTTTTCTCCGAGAGACTTCCTGACCATCGCTGCAGGACTGTCTCTGCTCTGGCTTCCTCTCAGAGAGTGAAGTAGAGGAGCTGCAGAGCGGTTAGCAGTGAGCACCGCAGGCGTCCAGTGCAGGCCTTACTCAGTCTTCCCACATAAGCAGGTCTACTTGGCTCTTCTAGTGTCAACATGGCGACAGCTCTGTGGCATCTCCCAGTGTAGCGCTCTAGCCATTGCCGGCTGACATTAATCACCAGGCAGACCCGTCCAGTCAGAGACTCTTTGAAAGGAATGGTTGCTAGGTGCCCTTTCCCTTCAAAGCATGTGCTTCAAGCCTTTAAGCTCATTTTGTCTGCTCCATTTAAGTAGGGGAAAGAGAGTCCATAGTCTCCTTCCATCCCCATCTCACGGCCTCCATTCCCTGCTCTAGGTTGATAACCTCCTGATAACAGGGAGGTGACTCAGGAACGCACCATTTCCAGGGTTCAGAGGTCATAGACAGATGAGGGGCATCTCTGGAGGTAACTGCAGAGATAGCATCCTCTGTCTCCTGCGGCCCAAGATGCCCCTACTTCTTTGCACAGACTCTTCTCAGGACCGTTGTACAGCGAAGGGAAGTAGTAGCTGGTTAGAGAAATCCGCCCCCAAACACCCACCCAAGCAGGGAGGAGAACTGTTAGAAGATTATGGTCTGGTGTGGTACCAGCCTCCCTCCTGTCCTATATAGCCTTGGCTATTGGCTGGGTCAGGAAGGCAAGCCATCGTGAGATTCCTTGTTTCTCTCTTCCAGGGGTGAGTGGACTGCAGTACACCTGCAGGCACAAGAGGCTGGCTCTGGGAGTCATCCCCACAGGGGGGATTTGAGACTTGCATTTGCTTTTTTCTCCTAATGTATTGGGGAGGTAGGGAGACCGACCTTCAGTATGCTTATCCTTTATACTGGATTTTAATGTCTTTAAGGCCTTTTGCTCATGAAATCAAGTCAAATGTGCATTCAAAGTCCTGGCTACAGCAAGGAATGAGGAGAAGAGAGTAAGGAGATAACTTGAGCTAGGCCACTGTTAGTGTTGAGCAGCAGCGTCTGGGTTCCCTCTGAAAAATCCTGAGCTGTGGAGAGACTGCTCAGTCGGCATCCTCTGCAGCCGCGCCTTTTGAAGGAGAGAACCATTCTCAGGAGTTCTTGTTGAGCGGCCGTACAGAATGGCTGTGCACATTCTGCGAGCTAGGCTGACTGCACTGCTTCCTCCTGTACTTCTACTCCTCAGACAGAGGGGCTAGAACAGGGGCACGGTCCTTTCACAAAGCCCCGCCCCATGTCTGCTGTGGCATGGCCTAGACAGGGGACCTCAGATGAATTATAAAGTGGAAGAGATCTTAGGATTGTCCTTTTAGAGTTTCCAAACTTCCCAAGTTGACGTCCTTAAAATGAAGCAAAGCTCAAGATAATAATAATAATAATTAAAAAAAAAACAGGAGCCGTACAGTAACTAAATCTCTCTTGTTAAAATCAGCCCCAAACCTCATCATGTGCTGCAGCCTCAGAGACAGACACTGCTGCATTGTGGTCAGTGAAGTTTTCTGCTTCAGGCCGTCATGCTGGACTCTGCAACAGGACACCCTTTGCCCCCTCTGCAGACCTTGTCCCAAACCTTCAAGCCAGTTCACAGACACATGCAGACCATGCCAACAGTGGCAGCATGTAGACCAGGCATAGCGGCCTGGATAGAAACATGTAGAAGAAACAATGTGATTTAAAAACCAGATTAAATTGTAAGTTCATATTTGGTGTATACAGTCAGCTAAATCCAGTACTAGATCGTTTCACAGGTAAATACAGGGACTGTCAGCCTTTTTAAGTTCTCATTTGGCATTTACTGACTAGTGGGTTTGAGGACCTTCTGTAAATGGAGAAGCCGTATGTGAAGTAGTCTATCGGTAAAGGAGCATCCAAAGACCACAGAGGTTCACTGTGCACAGGAACCTATAGCTTCTTAGCTTCTGCTTTAAATAGATTTCTATTTTTATCTGGTTACTGAATGTCCAGCAGATGCTGTCATTTGCTCTGGGTGACCCAGGGGTTTAGCTCAGGTGACACATCCAGCCTAAGGCTTGAGGCACAAGTGGCGGTGTCAGTCAACAGCAAGCGGGCGGATGCTTCTCTAAACCGCCTGGGCTTATCTCTTTTGAATAAATGTTACTGTCTCACCAAAACCTACTTGACATGTTCTTAATAAGGGGACTGTCATTTTTATTTTGAAAGGCTTGAGCTGCTATTTTTTAAATGTATGTCCTGTGATCTTCATAGAATTTGAAAGGCTTTTTTAAAATCACTGTTTTCTTGATAACTGCAAGTTTTACATCTCAGAAGGGGGATTTTTTACTGAACTTGACAACTACTTGATTTTATTGCTACTCTTTAAACATTATAAAGATAGCAAGTTTTACTGTGTCGTGGAAAGGAATTTATATTAAGAATCTTTTGGCTGTTAATTTTATGCCATTCCAGAGCATTGCTTAGAGAACTCCCTTGAGGTTCGCTCTGAGGCCTCCCTGACTCTTCATCCTCTTGTTGGGCACCATTTGTCTTGCCCTTGTGTTGCAATGACATCCCTCCATCCAGTGTGGCTGGGATTCAAACTAGTAGTGAATTTTCTAAGGGAAGAGCTCAGTAGTGCCTGTACAAGAAGTGGCCGCAATGAAAGCAGCCCACTTGGAGAAGGTGGTTAGTGACCACCAGGAGATCAATGGAGACTTCACAGCCGCCAGCCTGGTAGCCGTGAGGACGTGTTCTGCAGCCAGCGCATGGGCGGGCACTGTGCACTTGCACAGCTGCCCCTGGGTGGAAACAGATAGCAGAGCAGCCTCCTCTGCCAGATGTTTTTTTGCTACCTGTTGAACTCTGCAACGAAAATCGGCATTTGGGGTTTGATGTGTCACAGATTTTGCTACCATACAAAAGGTACTGTGTTTCAGAAGCTATGGTAAGAATAAAATATCCCCATTCATCCAGTTTGCTGTGCAAAAACCTGCGAACCACGGTTATGATAGAACCCCAGATAACCAAACCCAAGATACACACAAAATCATGTATTTTTAAAATAATTGTGTTTGCTTGGACATGACATCGCTCTGGACCTGCCAGCCCACAGCCGCACCCAGCATGCACCCATCTCTGTGCTTTGCCCTGCTTTGTCCAGAAACCATCTTATGTGTGCATCCGTTGTACAGGAGTCCAGCACCCATCTGAGTTAATCTTTTTTTTAATGTTATGAAAATAATAAGTTCATTTCATCTTAGTTTAAGTCTTTTCTTTTTTCCTTTTTTACTGCTGTCATTTCTTGTGCTTGTTTTTTCCCCAGTGAGGGTTGTCGAAGAGAAAATACAATGAAGAATGTTGGAAGTCGCAAATATGCATTTAACTCCCTGCAGCTGAAGGCCTTCCCCAAGCATTACAGGCCTCCAGAAGGGACTTACGGAAAAGTTGAGACATGAACACACGGTTTCCTCTAATTAGCTGTTACGTAATCAATGTGGGTACACTCTAGTATCACATATGATTCTTCAAGAAGACCAGAAGGATTCGTTTTTATTTTTGTGTTTTTAAAACTACTTCACTAAAGAGTCTATGGAGCATGATTTTGTGTTGGAATCTGTAGGGGGTCATGTGTGGCTCAATAGTGTGGATAGTAATGGCTGCCCTTAACCATAGCTTTCAGCTGTAACTATCAGTTAATGTCATAGTTCCTAGAAGAAGCCAGCTTGGTTTGTCTAAAACTCCAGGAGACTTTTTCAAATACCCACTTACACACTGCTCACTCAACTTATTTTTCTATTCAGTAACTCACAAGTGAGCATTGACTTAAGATCTATCCTCAAAAAGTACCTGCCCCATTAAACCTGAGGTCCCAGGTAGAGATAGGCTTTAGCTCAGCTTGGGGAAAAGAAGTCACACTTCATGCTATGAGAGAAGCTGGCTCTAGTGACTCTCAAAGGCCACACTCCTCTCTGTGGACCCAAAGTGAAAGGGAAGCTTGACCAGTCACACCAGGGGCCCGTGCCCTGGGCCCACACTGCTGCCCCTGCAGTCACAGAAGAAGGTCTGCTTGAGATCTGCACCAGCTGTGAGGTCCCCAGACCCTGCCTCTTCATAAGCTCCGTGATTAGGTCCACACCCACAGGACGTATCTCCCGTTCTCTGGCAATCAGGACCTTCGATGTGGCTTTTCAGGTGTCTGAGAGACAACTCTCCAGTCGGGGATTTAGGGCCATAGAGACAGTAGATACTTAAATATTTTCAGAAGTAATGTTCTTCTGGGAGCTTTCTAACAATCTTCTAGAAGAACACAAATCATGTTTGAATGTCTAAAGAAACCGTCTTAGTTTTTGGTTTGCAATAATTGTTACTGTTCGCCTTCTGTTATATAACTGTTGGGAAACAGTTAAAACTGCCCCTACACTGAGAGCCTGAGAGAGGCTTGTGAGACGAGAAAGGGATCTCATAGACGATTTAGTCTGGTCATCTTTTACAAGGTGATGATGAGTCTTATCTGCACATAGCAGATTTTTTTCCTTAGAATTTATATGTTTTATAAATTCTGTTTACCATAATTCTGTTTACATGTTATTAAAAGGCTGTAAAAAGAACTGTATGGAGTATATCCATGATGCTGATACTCACGATTTGTGGACACCATGGGAATTCTCATAGAAGTCTAGCTACTTTCTTTTGGCTCCTTTAAAAACATGTAACAAACTTGAACCTGGGACACTGAGGCACAGACAGGACCAGACCTTCAACAAGAGTCAGGGAGGGTGCAGGCATCCCTTTCTACCAGTGTGCAGACAGCCCCCGACTCCTGGTGCCCCACTCTCAGGGCATGCGTGGCACTGTGGAAGGTGAGTGGCAGGGAAGTTCTCACTACCCAGCCCTCCACACAGGGCCTGCTCTGCTGGTATCAGATTCCCAGGAAGCCTCAGTCCCTGATCTAGGCCTCTGGGGCTTAGTGTGGCTGGCTAAGCCTTTTACTTCTTTCTTGGTTCATTAACTCTAAGTTTTTAGTTTTATTTTTTTTTTCTCATTTGACATCACTGCCTTTTTAAAAATATTTCTTTGGACTTTAAAATCCAATGTTTCTGTGTTCTCCAGCTTTTCTTTCTGTCCACTTACAAAGGGAACAGAGCGACAGCTGACTCCCTGTCAGCGGCTTTGCATGGGGATTACTTTCTCTGTTTTTGTTTTGTAATATGAGTCACTGTAAAACTCTAAAGCCTGGTTAATCACGGGAAGGACTGTGACTTCAGTGTCTTCTCTGAAGGCATTGTGACCGGCTTCCAGGACATCACTCACGTCCCAGGCTGGCTAGGAAGGGGCACTGTGCACAGCACGGGCACAGGCAGCTCCTGGCCACCCCAGGAGGCTGAATTGTTCACTGTAGGTGGGAAACAGTTTTACTGGTTTCCACAAAGTGACGTTCTGTCCACCGTCTGTCCCCACTTAAGAAGGAATGTGCGGTGTCTGGACAGCTGGGAATGCCGTGTGGATCCCGTCAGCTCCCGCAGCACAGCTGCCTTTGCTTTCCTTTAAAGATGTAAAAATATTGTAGAATACTGTTTTATCCCCACACACATGTACTTGACAAGCTTAGTGCATTTAAATACTTTTATTTATTTGTTTGGGACAGTATTAATATATATGAACATATAGTTACTGTTTTATATATTCTTAGCTCATGTAAAGCCATGTATGCTGTAAATGTGCTTGTCTTAAGAATGGTAAATAATAAAACTCACAAGAGCATCACACATGGTCTCCCTTGATTTTTTTCTCCTACACTGGAAGGAAGTCCACAGCCAGCACCCGTGCATTTACCACTGGGCTTGGCTGCCAGGGTTCATAGCTTGTAAGTAGGGAAGACTAAGGTCTTTTTAAGCACGTTTTTACTTAATTCGAACTAGGGTGCGTGGTTAGGAACAGGGACATTGGCAGACAGCGCCAGACCCCAATCAAGGTTCTGTCTCTCACTGGTCAGTGACTTGGGACAAGTTGCTGGACCTCTCCAAGACCGTCTTGTGTGTGTCAGCTGTGGACAACAGCAGTAGGTCCCTCCGAAGGTGGCTGTGAGGACCTTGGTCTCGTGTGTTCATGTGTGTTGTCTCCTTTCCCTGAACAACTCGGCCTCTCTCCGTCTGTGGGTGCCTCCATGGTGTGACTTGCACAGAAGCATCTGTTCAGAGCTGCGTTGTCACCAGCATTATGGCGTTAGTCCGCATCTCCTTCAAGGACCACGCGTCCAGTAACTTCCCTTGGCGATTCTTGGCCGTCGAAATGAATCACAAACAACATGAATATGTTTGGCTGTCTGGAAATCTCCTGTTGCCACAGCCAGTGCTTTCCTACTCTTCTCGCAATGCGGGAATGGAGCCTTGCTTCAGTTTCTGTTCCTTTGAGCCTCTGCAGATATCAAAAGTCTGCTTTACTGATGCATGTGATTTTGTGACATCTCCAATAACCCTTAGTAAACATTCTGTTAACGCCTCTGTTATAGGCGGAAGGTTTTAAAGCTGTTGGTTAGCTGGGTTTTGGCTTCATCTTTGTTAGGGCTACAGAAGTCTTAAATGTTTTTGTAATTAAATGTTTTGTTCCAGTTGGTGTTTGTTCTGACTTTTCCACCGAGAATGACTGCGCCTTTGTCTCTGAAGCGGGCAGTGTGCCTGTGTTGGAGGACTGGACTCTGGTCGCAGTAGCTCCTTCTTGTCATATAGTGTGCTGTTCGGCACTGTTGGCGCTTTCTGCCGTGGCTCTCCTGCTCCAGGGTGTGTTGTTGTTCAAAGTCCTCTTGTTCTTATTTGCAGTGTTTTAGACTTCCTTTTTGTTTGTGTGTGTGTATGTATGTTTCTCATGGGTGTGTGCCCACGCGTGGCTGTGTGAGTGGGTGTGGAAGCCAGGGGCTTGTGTCAGATGTCTTCTTCTCTCAGTCTTCATTTTTTGAAGCAGGGTCTTGCTGAATCTAGAGCTTGCCAGTTCCAGATAATGAGACTTCGTTATCCACAAACGTTCATCTCTGCTGGAATTACAGGTGCCGAACTCCAGTCTGTATACGTACCCACTAAGCCATCTCACTGCCCCTTTACTTGGTTCTGACATCTAGGTCAGCTCATCTGGAGTTGCTGTATCAAGAGCTGACTAGGTTTGAGTGACTCCCTTCTCTCAACCAACCCTAATTTTGCTGGAGAGATGGCTCAACTAGTTCAGTTCTGGTCACGAGAGCGTGGGACCCTGGGTTCAGATCCCCAGCACGTGTGGTGGGATGGCCACACTGTCCTCATGGGATGATCATTACAGTTTCTACACACCATGCAGATTAGCTTCCTCAGGCAGAGGGGAGAGAAAAGTCTGTAAAACCCACCGCAGTTGGAGAGCTCAGTATCCCCAGCCTCATCAGCTCTTCTCTACCAAGTTGCAAAGTCCTATTCTTTGCCAACCTGTACCCTCACTTTAAATGATACCCTTTGAGTGGGAAAACTTGCATTGTAAGTCAACTCAGCTCTATGGACCACAGAAAGAAGGAGGTGGGGGGGGGTGTGTCCCTCAGTCCATAACTTCAGCTCTATGGACCACAGAAAGAAGGGTGTGTGTGTGTGTCCCCACCTGTAACTTCAGCTACATGAACCACAGAAAGAAGTGTGTGTATGTGTCCGTCCATCCATAAAAGGATTTATTGGCTTATACAGTTGTAGGAGGCTGCTTGTTTGTTTCCAGCTGCTCAGCCCTGAAACCTCTATTCTGCTCTGCGCAGGTCCAAGACAGTTTATTAACCAAAGGTGTTTACAGCATACAGAGGGGAATCCCACATCATACAATTGACTTATACTTGTGGCTGCTTACATACTGGAGAGGCTGAGAACCTGTTAGCAGAAGAAGCAAAAAAGCTGGAAGCCTCAGAACAAGAGAACCATTGATAGTCTGAGGCTGAAGGCCCGGGAGCTTCCTGGACCGTCGCTGGTCTGAGTCCA